ATTATGAATATACAAATTAAGTTTCTAGACTATATACATTTCTAATAAGTAATTATACCTTTAAAAAATTATAATAAGAATTTTTTAAATTAAAATTATAAAATAAAAAATAATAATTTGAAACAAAATCAATGGTTGGAACTATGTCAAGTCATAGATGATGCTTTAGTTATTAATAAAAGAATTTTTTTAGACCTCTATTTAACTATTTATTATAATTAATTAAAACAACATATTAGTACATCTTTTAAATTATATTTTGATTTAATCAACTAAATAAAATAACTTTAGTTTAATATTTAAAAGAAATAAAATATAATTTAATTAATAATTTATTATATTATATTGGTAAAAATAATAATAATAATAATAATCTAATCCAAAAGTATATCTTTAAATTAAACATATTTAATGATATAAATTTATTTATTTTATTTAAATATTATGACAAACTTGAGTACTTCTATATTTTAAAATTAGTAAAATATATGAGATTCTTTAATTTATTTAATAATAATATCGAGCTTAAAAACTTTTACATATCAAAATTAGTTAAAGATATGAGGTTGTACAATTTGATTGATAATAATGTCAAGCTTGAACATTCATATCAAAGGTAGTAAAAGATATAAGGTTGCCTAATTTATTTAGAAATAATATTAAGTTTTTTCATTCACTTAATACAAAATAATAATAAATATGAGATTTTTTAAATTTTATTTGGCAATGATGTTAAGCTTAAGCATTCACATATAAAAAAATAAAAGTAAAAGTCATAAGATTTTTTTAATTAATTTATCAAGGATTTCAAGTTTTAGCACCTCTATAGTTTAAAATTAGTCAAAAATATTAAATCTCTTAATTCATTTGGCAATAATTTTAAATTTGAGCACCTCCACATTTTGAAAGTATTTAACTTTGGAGATTGTTTAATTTATTTGGCAATAATGTCAAGATTAAGCACTCGTTTATATCAAAAGTAGTTAGAGAAGTTAAATTGTTAAATTTTAAAGGAAAAAATTTTAAATTTAAGCACCTTCACACTTTGAAAGTAGTAAAAAAAGTAAAGATATCCAAATCATAAGGCAATGTTGTTAAATTTGAGCACCTCCGTATTTTTAAATTAGTCAAAGATCTAAAGTTACTAAATTCTCTTGGTAATAATTTCAAGCTTGAGCACTCATTTATATCAATGGTAGTAAAAGATTAAAGTTTTTTAAATTCAATTAGCAAAAAATGTAACAAGGAATTTATTTTTTTATTTTTTTACCAAGTTATCCTTGTATTAAGGCCTTTAATTATTACTACAAGTTTAAAAATTATGTTAAAACATTTTTTAAAAAATCATATCAATCCAATAAATTCAATATATATACTACAGTTTTTTTATAAGGATCTTATCAATTGCAATTCAATATCTTTTTTTCTGATTTTATTTTATTTGAATGACTAGTATTCTTTAATTTTTATTGATAAATCATATTTTATTTAAATTTCTAGTCTTTCTTTGATGATTGGACTAATTTTCTAAACATTTGTAAAAAAATAACACATTTCTATGGTTTGAAATTGATTTTTTAATATCTCGAGAGCTATAAATTTAATACTACTATAAATTTGATTATTTTTTTTGGTTTTAGATTTCTTCTAACTTCAATTTTTGACATTTCAAAATCAATAACTTTCACATTAGCATGTCAAACAATCTTATCTATAATATTAATCACAATATTATTAGATTTTAAATCATAATGTGTAATTTTTATGTCATAAAAATAATAATTTTATTTTTTAATATAATATGTAATATCAATAATATATATATATATATATATATATATATATATATATATATATATATATATATATTATAGCATATTTTTTTTAAAAAAAATTGCATCATTTTTATTGCCATATATAAATAATCTTTTTTTAAATTTTTTCTATGTAAGATTTATCTACTTTATTGGCATTACTTTGAATTGCAAAATAATATATTATTGAATTGAGATGGCTTCAACGTGCTAGGATGCTCATTTTTTAATAAATTATTTATTAAATATAATATCTCTCTTTTTTGTTGCATACTCAAGTTTCAACTACTTTAATTTATAAACTTCGCCATAAGCTCCATTAAATAATTTATAAAATTCTTTATAAGTTCCATTCAATTTATGAGTTTAATGATTTTAAGATTTTTAAAATTTTGATATTTATTTTGTATTATAAAATTTTAAACTTTCTATGTGATGAATATCTTTTAATCATTCAAGTAGATATTTTATTAAGTCATAATATTTATTTATTTTTAATTAAATAAAACAACATATCATATAATTTTTTTATCATTACTTATAATTTTTTCATATTTAAAAATAGATTTAAAAATATCATTTTTTTATTGGATTAAAAATAGCTATTTTTTCGAATTTTTTTATCTTAAATTATTATTATTAAATAAAATTTATTCAATAAATTAAATAATTCACTTAATAAAAGACCATATTTAATTCTTCTTTATTAAAAATCATTAGGTAGCCAAATATCTTTGTAATGCATTCAAATACCTTACATAAATTTGTACATTTTTTTTGTTAAATATATCTTTTTTAATAAAATATTAAAATTTTCTAATATAGGATTTAAATACTTTTTAAATATTAATCAACATTCCATGCACACTTGAAGATTTTGATAACCAAAAAGTACTCAAATAAATCTAAACAATGAATGTATATTGTTTTATTGATTTCACATGAGATTGCATTTTATCATCTATTATTTTTTGTAGTTTCTTTGCATTTGTGGTACTAACAAGATAGAAAATTAACATCCAATAGATTCAATCTAAGAGCTATTATTTATTTAGTTACTAAAAATGGCATTAAAATTGTTACAATCTTTAAGATAATATAACATAAATGAAGACCTCTAAAAATAATATATTTTTCTTTAAATAGATGGAGAGATACAACATGTTTGGTATTATAATATTGGAAGAAAATCTTGATGTTTGGTAACATTATTGGAGATAAGAATCACTCTTGATGGTATTCCAAATGTTTTACTTGAAAAAAATTATTAAAACCTCAACAATGATTAAATATCAAAATGATCTTTTTACCTTGTTTTAGAATACTATGGATGGCTAAGAAGACCTAACAACTACCTTTGACATAAACAAAAATTAGAGTATATAGCAAATAAAATTTGCCTCATTTTAGACTTCTTTAACATGTGATCATTGCTTCTTATGGAACTTGTTCCTAGAAGGGAAGAGAGTTGGTAGAGGACAGAGGAGAGAAAGAAGATAATGTCACAGATATGTATATTTATCTTTTAAATTATTTAGATTAAAAGAATTATATAAAAATAAGTAGAAATAAGTAAATTTATTAATATTTTATGGAAGAACTTCTTAAAATCTTTATAGATGTAAATTCAACTTTATATGTATCTATAGATAATTGATAAGTTGAAAATTATGCCAATTAGCTAGCCATGTCTTGCATATATAGGAAAGTTGTCTAACAAGTTAAACACATGTTAGAAGTCTTAGAATATGTTGCTATGTAACTTCTAGTTAAATCATATACATAAAGGCAAAAAGAAAGGCCTTCCACACTCTTATTAATTCTCTTCTTGCTTCTAATCTAGTTTCAAGATTCTTTAGTTTCTATTCTTTGGCAATAGCTATTCTAATTTCTTCTTAAATATAGATACTTTTTTATTTATGTTTTATAATTTTGCATTAATACACATCTTATTTGTTTATTTATATTCTTATAATTGTTGTCTTTATCAAAATATATAATTTTAAAGTTTTAAATATGATAACCAACCAATATAACCAACCAATATAGCTTAAATGTTTTAACAAAGTATAATATATATATATATATATATATATATATATATATATATATATATATATATATATATATATATATATATATATATTACAAAAATATAAGATTATTTTCATTGGAAATTAAAAAATTTGTAATCTAAGTTGTGTGTGAAACTTGTACTCCTATCTCAAAGAAAAATTTAAGTAAATTTGGATAAATAATTTTTATTTATATAAATTTTATAATTTGTAAACATATAGATTTGAGTTTGTAATAAAATTCTTTAAAAAAATATATATAGAATGTTATCTTATTTATTGTTAAAAAAAATTGGTGCCTCTAAACTTTTGCTAGGATCTTTGGACTTATTTTTTTTATTTTGAATAATTATTTTAATATTGATAAATCATTTATATAATAAAAAAATAATTTATAGAATTATTTTTAAATAGATGAAATCACGATATATATTGATAATCTTAATTTATTTTTTAATTTAGAAAAAAAATTATATCTATGTATGCTTGAATCTGATTATTTTTGTCTCTACTTAAATGATGACCAATGAGAGTCCACAATAATGGCACATAATTCATGCATCTTTTTTAGTCAAAAATCTGAAATTATATCACAAATATAATAATCATTATTTCTACATAATTTATTTTAAAATGAAATCACTTTATTTATCACTTTATTTATCCTTGAAAGCTATAATAAAATATTCATCAACTTTATTTATTTTGAAAAACGTATTGACAAGACACTACACTAAAGGATTTCTCATTTCTCAAATGGAGAACCATAAGCACAAAAACACAATTAATTTGGAACGTACATAAGCTGCCAATATAACAAATCACCACTTTGTTTAACAGAGTAAGCGTTATCCCATTCTGATCTACTCTGCTGAAACCCAAGAGTCAATCGCTATCCGGTGCAGAGAATCTGATTTATGCACCGATATGAGGACTGAATCGACGAGTAGGTAGGAGAATTGATCTATGTACCGATAGGAGTCCCTCTTGACGCACCGTTCGAATGATAGATTGACGTCCGTACTAGAATAGGGTCAGACCGGGTATTTGGCGGAGATAGCCCTAGTATAGGTTTTACGGCCCCCAGGTATTGCTGCCAATTGGCAGAGGAAGGCCCTGCAACGCCAGAGCTTGTGCGCAATCACCATCGCCATCTCCTTCTTCTTCTTCCCTCTCTCTCCCTCTCTGAACACCTTCGCCGCTGCTGTCGCCCTCCCGCATTGGTACTAATCCATTCCTGTTGTGCCTTCTCTTACTTTCTCTTTCAGCTGCAATTTTGGTGCTTCATTTTGTGATTGAGTTGGACAACGTTTGTTGGTGAAAGGGGTGGTGCATGATTGTTTATAGATTTGGGAAGCTGTGGTCGATTACGACAAGGATTGGGGAAGCTGTTGTCCTAGGAGGATAGTGCTCGTTTGTGTAATTGAAGGAGTGACACGCCTGGCTGGCACTGAATGGCGGCTCTGTGTATGTCCGATGGGGTTTCCGTCTTTCACCAAGTGTTGTGTTTTGTGACATCTGGCGACCGAGTTGGTTTTATGACGCTTGCGTTGTGGAGATGCGTACTACTGTGGGGTCTATTTTTTTTGGATTTTGGGTTTCTTGTTTGGGAGAGGAGTAGGAGAGAAATCCGCATTAGTCGTTTAAATTGCCCCTCGCATGTGTGTGTTGTAGAGGAAGGGTTGTTCTCAATGTTAGAATCATCAAATTTTTGAATAATTTGTTGGTTTTTTTACGGTGAATGATGAAGAAGGATTATGAGGAGTGCACCTTTGTCTCGAAGTTTTCTGACACGGATTTTGATGGCATTTCTTGCATCAGATTACTGAGCTTTGTGTCTTCGAATGTCGCTAACACTCGGATCTGTCGTGCGCAACGCATCCCGCATTCTCGGCAGTAGGGTCTCTGCGAGCTCATACACATTCCTCTGCCGACGCGGCTCCACTATCGTAACTCGCGCTGCGTCGGAGGGGAATCAGGTCGACAATATGGCTACTCCTCAAGAAATGAGCAGCAACAAGGTGTTTGGTGGTTTCAATCGCCGTTACAAGCATGAAAGTAGCTCCGTCGGATGTCCTATGACGTTCACCATCTTCTTCCCACCTGCGGCAGATTCGAGCAAAGTACCGGTGGGTTGTACACACTCTTCAAATTTTGAATTTGCCAAGGGTTTGGAGACCATGTGCTTCACATTCCTCTGTGGAATTCTATTTCGCAGTCTCTACAGTTTTTTGTTGCTTTTCGAGGACTGTTGTAACAATTCAACACTTCTGTGTGACAGGTTTTGTACTGGCTATCAGGGTTGACGTGCAACGACGAAAACTTCATCCAAAAATCTGGTGCACAACGAGCAGCAGCTGCTCACGGCCTCGCGCTAGTTGCTATGGATACCTCCCCACGTACGTTACTATCAATCATTTTCATTTCTAAGTTACACATCAGGCGATCATCTAATTTCAATTCCCTATTATTAGGAGCACGTACTACATCTGATTAATCATGCCAATTTTTCGCAAGTCTTCACGATGTTTTCATGTTGACACCTTTCCTCACTATTTGTACACGTGGGTTCCCCAGGAGGGCTGAATGTGGAAGGGGAGTCGGATAGCTGGGATTTCGGCACAGGTACTTGAAAATAAATCATCAGCAGTATGAGGCTTATGTCATGTGTGAATTCGTAAATACTCCAAAAAGTTCTATTCAATTTGACGCATTACGACTATCTGCCTTGTTGATCACGTGAAGGACTTTTTGTGCCAATGGGACAGGAGCCAGTTTCTACCTAAATGCCACTCAGGAGAAGTGGAAAAACTGGCGCATGTACGACTATGTCACAAAGGAGCTCCCCTCTCTTCTGAGCTCTCACTTCCCCCAGCTGGACACTTCTAATGCCTCCCTTTTCGGTCACTCCATGGGCGGCCATGGCGCCCTCACCCTCTTTTTGAAGAATCCTAGCAAATACAAGGTGCATTGCTTACACCCTTCTATTTCATCTCTAATGCACTATTTGTCAGAAGTGTTAATAGTGAGACTGACTCCGATACCAATCGCAGTCTGTGTCGGCATTTGCTCCTATCTGCAACCCAACTGCGTGTCCTTGGGGAGTGAAAGCTTTCAATGGATACTTGGGAGCGGAGAAGTCAGCATGGGAGGAATATGACGCTACTTTGCTCGTAACGAAATACAACGGCCCTAAAACAACCATCCTTATTGACCAGGTCCACTTTATTACCTACTTTTATCATGTCTCTCATGCCTCGCTTTTTATTTGATCCACCTGGTCATGATATCGCAGGGATTGGAACTTCTGTGAAGATTGATATGTCTCCGACATGTGTGCACTACTTACAGGGTGACGCAGATAAGTTCTACAAAGAGAATCAGCTCCTGCCAGAGAATTTCGAACAAGCTTGCAAGAGTGCGGGGATGCCCATCGACATGCGCATACAACCAGGCTACGACCACTCGTATTTCTTTATTGCATCTTTTGTTGAAGACCACATCCAACATCATGCTAAAGCGCTTTCCGTGTAGTAGCCAGACCTTGAGTCATGTGCATCGGTAGCTCTGAACCGATTTGTGTAGTATCTTTCTGAAAAGTGCACCTTCCTGTACGGATGTATATGGTAGCTTAGCCTCTGGAGGTTGAGGTTCTGCAAGAACAGTTGCTTGATAATGACGAGAGTCGCATTTCGAGCCGTCCTTCACTTGGTTGAAAGTTTCATGGCTGGTTGCCTGTGTCAAGTTTTAAATGTCCATAGGTCTAGAGGACACTTGCATCTTTTGGGGATTGCATTTTGACTTTGCTAAGTTGGCACATGTGATCTGTTCTTCTATTCGGAGACTAATCTCTTTGGTTGCGGAGTAGGCCAGTGAATGGCTCGACGATTGTGCACATCACATTCTTAGAGGTTATTTCGTAGCATAAATCAGATCACGTATCTTCGAATATAGCTTATCACTATGTAACCAATGCTACGAGTTGTGATTTGCACAAGCGAAGGGTGCCGATAAGAACACTACTTGATGCCACACCATTTCACTCTGTGCAGGCACATGGCCGATGCTTGATGGCTATTAATCCAACGTCCTTTCCAAGAAGCTCTTTATAAAAAGTAGTTGATGCACTGATGTAGAAACTTCTCACACAAGGTCGGATGTCAGAGGCACATGATTCTCCTATCAGATGAGGACTCAGGACACTGGTGCTTGCCGTGCCTCCAAGTCAAACATGCAGTCTGGTAGATAAGACACGTTGTATGTCCTACGCATCCGTTGTTGATTGAAGATGTGTACAGAACTCTTAATGTAAGCTGAGTTGACAATTCCAGCTGCAGAACATATATTTCAAAGAATACAGCATAATTGATGCATCTACTCTCAAGTAGGGATGTGCGCTTGTATCGAGGACGAGCTGGGAACAGTTGATCATTAATGTTGTCTCTCAAGGACGCTCCAATCATTCTCGCCAATTGGGGGGGGTAAATTGTTACCAAGCAGCTTAAGAGGCTCTTCTTAAGTTTCGCACTCGACCTTCAACGCTGCTTCTAGAATGATCTTAAAGTTCGGACAATTCATTGGAACCACCGAAGCAATGGAGAGTTGGTGATTTGCAGAGGAGGTTGAAGATGTGTAGTGTTGTGGAAATGCCACGGTTCTTCATTGTCATAGCTCTGATTGGGCAGTTGTTTCTCCAGGCGCCTGGATCTGCAGATGCCGCTAGAGGCACTCCTGCTGTAGTTTCCCATGATGAAGGGAATCCGTGCAGGACATGCTGGGGAAGCGAAGATGCAAACAATGCAACTGATCGGAAAGTGGAGGGGCGATTCCCTGGCTATCATGAGGATGTTACTGGTGCTGCCCACAAGCTGGCTCCTGTGGTAAGCGTGTGTGGTTAGGTTTCCGAATAGAAGACCCCAATTTGATTTGTATACATATAGTGTGGCTGGAAGTGGATTTGGGAAGGGAGTTCGATTAACTTTGTGTATGCGGTGACCAGATTTTGTGTCTCCATTTTGGTATGTGCCCCGGATAACTGACCCAAAGTGTAGAAGTGGGAATGTATTGAATGACGAATGCAACTTTGTCTTCAATTCATTCCTCAGCTTCCAAATGTTGTGTAGCTTCTAAAGTGTTCTTATTAGGTGCTAGAAACACGACATTGTTCAATCTAGAAACGGGTTAATGTCTTTCTTATTGAATAATCAATTTTTTGGCGACAGTTTCAGGTGAATGCATCCACCAAGGTACGAAGCCAGAGTGATCGTTACATTCGTGGTTCAAATAAATTTTCCAGGTCTGAAGGTAATACAGTAAACCGTGTGTCGTTTAGTTCTGTAACTACCATCCTTCAACTGAAGGAACCACGCTTACTTTGAGATGATTTGACATACACTGCATTTGGATGTGCAGGCGGAGTGAAGACTGAAGTGAAAGCAGACAATCCAGGAGGTTGGGGATCAACACCACCAGCAGCGCCAAGCAACAACGGTGGTTGGGGAAATCCACCTCCCAGTCCTCCACTGTTTGGAGGAACTCCCTTTCTTCCCCCTTTACCTCCAATACCTCCTCTGCCTTCTTTACTCCCTCCATTTGGTGGTAGTCCCAACACTCCAGTTGGTGGAGGAGGAGGTGGTGGTGGAGGTGGAGGTAATGGAAATAGTGGGATCTGCATAGGCTTTTGCCCAGGTGCAGGTAGCGGAGGGGGAGGTGGAGGCGGAGGCGGACACCACTAGCTTAAATGTGTTTGTTTTTGATAATGTAGCCAATTATTTTAGAGACACTTTTCACGAGCCACTCTTCACTGCTCAACTCTCAACTTGGCAGTCCAGTGACTAATCAATACCAGATGGGTACATGGTGGATAGATGCCAGTTAAAGAGGAAGGCAGGAGCTGTGGCTCTTGGAAACAAGTTTCTATTGTTATGTTCTTTTGGTTAGTAACAGGAGCAGATGATGGAACTAGCGAGCTCACCCTACTTTGTGGTGGAACTGTGGAGTCATCCACCACCACATCTTCGGAGACCGCCCAAAAGTTGCTCTGGATTCTATTTCACAGGTTTTTGATTGTATCGAGCTTTTGAACGTGAATTGCATCATCGGTTAAATGCACTGCTTTAGGCCTATCAGTTGCTCCGTAGTACAGAATATGAAGGTAGTGTGTGGCATTGGCATCGGGTAGAAGCAGTAGCTTCAGAATGCAAGGCAAACTTGCACATCCTTTGCACATAAATGTTCAAAATAATTGATCACCCGAACTAATCGTCCCTCTGAATTGTAGTTAGAATGTGTAATGTTGACACATTATATTGTCTCTGATTTTAAAGCAAGCATGTCCATGAGCATGATCTTAGTGGTGTTTGATAAATGTGATCCAGGTTAATGGATTAACTCATTCAAGTCAATTAGCTCTATTGAACTGGAACCCTGATAGCTTGGTGGGTTAACTTACAACTCTGCAGTTTTACAATTCTAATGAGTGATTTTTTTCCAACTGTATATTTCGTCATTCAAGTTTACTACAAGATATTAGAGAACTTGCTAATTAATTTGTGATACAGTGAAGATTACGTATCACATTAGTATGAAGGAATGACTGATTAATTTGCTTTATATCAATTTAATCCAGTGAGAAAGCTCAAATGTTAATTTGAATCAAGTGAAATTTATTCCTTGTCTTTTTTTTATTTATTATATATGCTTTATATAAAATATTTAGCTTTTATGAAAATCTATAAACCTAACGCTTGATAAGATGACCTTTATTCACGTGTGATTAATATTTTGGAAAAACTGTTGTCAGTCCTTAAGATTCGCTGACTGGCTAAATTTTTCTTTGTGCTTGAAGTTTGTTGATTGGATGAATTTTTGAGAAAGGAAATTTATTCTGAAATGGAATTTTAAATTTGAATGTGAATTAAAAATTTAGGTTTGCAGTTTCTTGACATTTATTCTGAATTATAATTTACAAAGAATTGCAAACCAAAGTTCTAAATTAATCAAAATTAATATTTTTACAATTTTTCGTTATTATATATATATATATATATATATATATTGTAATATCAAAAGTTTAGTATTGAATGGACAATGTTCTTATTTCATTATCCATATGAAATTTCAAATTTTGTTCAATAATATTATATATACAAGCAAAGTTAAATAATTATAAATTTACAAATAAAAATAATAATTAGAACTCAACAATCTTTTAGCAAGCTAATTGGTTTCTTTTATATATATATATATATATATATATATTTATAAGGAGTTGTTAAAGCCACATGCCACATTACCATTTCATGATCAATTCCATCTATCCCCATCTTTGTTTCTTGTTCCTAACATAAGTTCCTTCAAACAATGAAACTATTTTTCTTCAATCAAAACATCAAAACCTAATGTTTTTTTATGTTGCTAAATTTACAAAAAATAATGAAGTTTTGGATTTGGATTCTTTTTATAATTTTTTACTGAAATTTATAATTTTATTTATGATTCCAAAATAAATCTCATTCACTAGTAATTATAAATATGACTTCTTCAATCTTTATTAAAATATTTAATCAAATTTAATTAATATATCACCTTTTTCTCACATTTTAAAATTAAAAAACATAACATTTAATGTATCAATTTTATATTGCATACTGAAATTTTGTTATGTTTTTTAAAAATATTTTAACACTTTATATAATATTGTAATTTAATTATTTTTTTCTTTATTCATTATAATTTCTATTTAATAATGTAAAATCTACCATTATCTGTTTATAGTTTCAAAAACTTAATTAAAAAAAATTGGAACCTTTTGGATTGAGTTAAAAATTATTTAGCAGTTTTTTAATTTGATGAATATTGAGTTAATCAAAAATTCTAAAAATCCATTGCCAAATTTGAAGTAAAGAATTACTTAACTTACATATTTTTATTCAATTTTTGAAATCTGTGATTTTTTATTTTATTTTATTTTGTTATTTGGATTTTATTTTTAAATAAGATTATTATATCTTATAATCCAAAAATCTTTTTACTAACTAGACCTAAGTTTTTACTAAATCAACCCATCCATCCTAATCATCATGAAAATAAATATTGATGTGTGAATTCGTTTCTCTATTAGTGAATCTGCAACCAATAAAAACCAACCACATTCATCATGATTATCATACTCTTCATCAAGGGTGGATCTGTTTAGTAAAAGCATGGGTCTGTTTAACATTCTCCTATTTTTTTAAGTTGAAATATTAAACATGTAATTTTTACAATATATAAGTTTATTTGGACTCAAAATTTTATTAAATAAGATTATGATGTGATCCATCATCTTATCTTTAAAAATATATTTTAAAAATAAATATCTATTAGTTTATATATAATAATTCTAAAACTTTCTATTTGTTTTTTTTTTCAAAAAAATCAAAATTAAAAGACCAAATTCTAAAAATAAATATTTTGAAGTGAAGTTGTATATTTGATTACTCTTTTATATTTAGTAAAAATTATAAATAAATAATAATAAGTAAATAAACCATTTTACTCAATAAAATCATTTTTTGGTGACAAAAATGGATAAGAAAGTCAAATGATGCATTCTGGTCATTAAGTAGCTGTCATTAATAATAAAATCCAAGATAGTGTCGAAGGATTTCATTTTGTAAATATATAAAGTCCCACATGACAATAAAATATTTGAAGTAAAATTTGAAATGTGGATGATACCAAAAAATGTGTTTACATATTTAGATCTATATATATATATATATATATATGAATGAGACATTTTTTGTATACAAGACAGTTTGATGAAAATACATGTAATAAATAATTGGGTACATTTATAAGGTGCTCCTCAGGGCATTCGGAGTTTGCTGTTTTTTTATACTAAAGCTAGAAAAATGTTTTCTCCTTAATGGGAAAGAATAAAATTTGACCAGTATGGGGGATTTTGCTTCTATAGCTTTGTAATCATGGCTTTAGGCATTGAACATGTGGTTAAAAATAAATAAATAAATAAATAAAATGACTTGCATATTCATGTATTGACCTAATACTTTATGACTAAGCAAAATGTTTTAGAGCAATGATCACACCAATATTGGTTTTTCAATGATATAAGGTCAGTAACATATATTTTTCTGGATTAAGAAAAAAACCTTTGAAGATATTGCATTTATATATATATATATATATATATACATACATACACACACTCACTTGAACCAATAAGTCTAAAACAAAATCAATGAATATTTAAAAAGAACTTCCTAAGTAGTGACTTTTTGTTGATTTTTTTTTTTTTTTTTTTAATTTTTATGGTTTACTTTTATGCAATCCAATTTTTTTTAAAAAAGTTACAAATACTCACACAAAATTTTAGAGTTCAAAGAATTACTTTAATAAAACCAAAAATGAATGTTTATTTTTTATCTCCTCAAAAACAAATCAATCAAGAAATCTCAAGATTATTTTTTAAAGAAAAAAGTTATAATATATTTATAGAAAATTATGCTAAAAGAACATGATTGCTAACAATCTCATAAATATATGTGTTTATATATATTTACCAACATAGGGTGAACTTTTGCATTATTGTGCCTTTAAATTTCAACTTGATCTCATAAGCTTTACTTTGGAACTCACCTAAATATCAAGTGTTTCACCAATGGAGTCATTGAAACCAAGAGAGAATTCCACAGGTCATTCAAAAGACAATTCTAGCCTCCTTCTCACTCTTAATTTTCTTAAAAAAATTTGAAGTATGTTACAAGTATAAAATTGCAATTGAGTTTGTAGAATCAATTAAAATACAATTATAACCGCCTTCTTATCCTGAAGTGTTTTTATCAGACGGACTCTATTATACCATAGATATATCTAAAACATGCATAAATGAAATTTAAAAGATAATTTGTAATGTGACAATATTTGTGATGATAAATTTGGAGATAAAGAATTATGGCTATTTTAAAGTAGTTGAGGTGGAATTTTTTATAAATATATATATATATATATATATATATATTCTTTTTTCTTTTTTCTTTTATATATATAATAATAATTTTAAATAATTTTTATGGTGTGATTCTTAATTTTTTACATTTATTTAAATATTTTAAATACACAGTCCAATTCTAAAACGATGACAACGCTTCTATTACATCAGAGTGAAAAATAAATCAACATCTCTCGTTTCCAACGTTCTATAAAAACCATTCAAAACACAACACGAACTCTCAAATATTCTCAGTAGAACACCATTATCATCATGAACTAACTGTTAGCATTTCTACAATGCTTACGTGTGTGTACATCCGTCTCCTTATCTTCTGTTTCTATATAGATAGAAATGTGTGTGCGCTTGTGTAACACGAATCGACTGAATCAGATGAATAGAAGGAAGAAAAACTTGCCTAATGCGAGACACAGTGGCAGTGAAACAAGCACCAAAATTGTTACTAAATACCGCGTCTTTGCATCATGCTTCGGAGCTCACAAGGGGATTCCAGACAAGTGGAGCAAGACGATTGATGGTTTCCATGCTGAGGGAGAGCCTCGTCATCGCACCATTCCTGGCACTGGCTGTGCATGACATACACACACATCTGCCACACATACACACACACATCCCCCCCACACACAGACTCGGTGCTGCAGTTGAGCTCTTTATGCAATTTTGCTCAAGCTTGGCCTGTTTTCAGGGATCCACAATCATGCTTCCCAGAATGCTGCCCAGAATGCTGCCCCTTCACATCTTTTCTGTGCTGTGGCTCTTTGTTGCTGTGACTGCGAGTTCCCTGCAGGAACCGTTTCCAAACCGTTTCGGTGATGAGGTCGAGGCTTTGCCGGCGCTGGAGCAGAAGCCTCACGGGAGAGCTGGGCGTTTGCTGGGAGTGGATCATGGCGTTGTCTCTGATCGACGCGGAGTTCGGGTAAATTCAGCTAGTGCATGTTTTCTCTGTGATTGCTGTTGATTGGGGAGTGTTACTTGACGTTTGAATTCTCACCCCACAGTCCGATTGCTGATCCCGAACATGCCCTGTATCTCGGTTGATACATACCCCGCGCTGTGTGGAGCTCAACCTTGTCTATGAGTTGTTTGGTCACGGAATTGTGAAGAATCTGTTCTCTGTAATTTGAACCGTCGAGAGCACATTTTATTTCTGCAGGGGCGAAGCCTAAACGGATTTGGAAGAGGGGGTGGGGGATTCGGCGGTGGGGGAGGAGGACGCTTTAGACCGGGTCCAGGTCGTGGTGGCGAGCGAGGAGGTTGGGGTGGAGGCAGAGGGGGGGAAGTTCCTGGTGAAGGCGGCGAAGAAGGTGGTGGAGGTGGTGGAGGCGGAGGTGGTGAGCGATCATCTAACTCTTCTTCCTTCCAAGGACCAGCAACGTTGTGACAATCTCCTTTCATACAATATGCTAATCGGCTCATTTATACACGATTGTACTTAAAGTAAACCAGAGACTCACTTCTGCTGTCATCTGCAGGAGGCGATGGAGGCGATGGAGGCGATGGAATCTGCATAGGCTACTGCCCTGGTGGTGGTATAGGAGGCGGAGGTGGCGGAGGTGGGTCAAGCAGCGCATTCACAACATCCTCAGAATCCACAGAATCCATGGAATCCACCACCCAAGTCACAACTCCCCCATTCACAGCCGCATCGACTCCATCCACACCCTAGCAGAATGTCAGATCTTACCCAGTTGTAGATCACGCTAGGTCACCGCAATCTCAATCCAGAAGCAGCCCAAGCTCGATTGTGAATAAGATTTCTAGCCGCGTGTTCGATGGAGTTCCACCAAACACTGCAGTGAGTAGGAGCCTTGCGTGGTAAGAAGTTCTAATGGAACTGATCCCCATGCCGGTAACAGTAACAGTTCAGTTGTATATGGAATAGATTAAGAATAGTTCGTCATGCAGGCACTAATTCAACCTCTCCCTTGACTTCATTCTGGGATATCTTTCACCGCTGATCAAACACAGTTGGGTCTTAATTGACGTGCCTTTCAAACGTTTCTGGTGTGACTACTCACACGGGGGTTTAATTACACACACTTGACGAGTGGCAGAAATGTTACACCACCAGCGTCTGATTTTGAAGCACGCCCACCCAGAACATGAAATGCAAGCATTGTCGAACTTGACACTACTCACACCTACTAAATTGAATGAGCAGAATCATCGACACTTCGTCTCTCCACTTTACTTTTACCTGAAGAACAATTCCTTCTTAATGTTGAGCTTTACTTGGACATGAGCTATGTTTATGCTCTAGATAAGGGCTATCTATCAAATGACTCGTTAAAGCACAACGTATTTGACTCGAAGGATATCAACTATATGGGATGTTTCAGATGGGACTTGCATTGAAGCTCAACAGTGTTGCTTCTCGTGAACTGTCTGCAACAAGGTCATGAAATATGAGCTTTGAAGGGGCATTGTCAATACTGTTGGACTCACTCATTTGTCTTTAATATTCATGTTTTGAGTACATGTAGTGGACATCTAGTGTCACCAGTTTCTCCTTCTTTTGTTCATGTTCTTTGATGTGATTAAAAATAAATAAAATAAAACCCGTACTTCAAACCAATAGTTTGAAGGTGTGTCCATTGTGACAACACAGAACACATTCCTTTTTAGAGTTCAAGTAGAATCGATACTGACAATTCATTCATTCATTTAGTTATTTATTTATTTATTTATTTATTTATTTACACACATTTGAATATGGGTGGAAAATTGGGTGGGTTGCTTCTCGAGAGTTTTATTTTTTCGTTTCTGAAAAATAGATGAAATTATTACATGAATATAGCTCGTTTAATTTTGTGGTGTACATGTCAGTTTTGATAATTTTTTATGGAAGTAAATAAGTAAACCATGTTGATCATTGCTATGGAGAAGCATACAAGTGTACAACATTAATACCATCACACAATTCTCAATGTTTCATGCACAATAAAGGTTTGCTACAAAAGTAACCATAACTTCAAAAAAAACAATGTATGAATGCTTTTATAAAAAATAAAATTAAAATTAAATTATAGCAAAAATTTCTTTGATAAAAAAGTTGAAAATGATGATTATGCGTTGCAAAATAGAATAGTATCATAGAATACTACAGCAAATACAAAATTTCAATTCTGTCCCAAAATCACAATTCAATTTATTACAAAAGTAATAGCTCATGCATTATATTAACGTACATACTTATTTTTATTTTTATTATATATATGTGCGTATGTATGTATGTATGTATGTATGTATGTATGTATGTATGTCAATCTGAGCTGCAACTAATTAAATGTTCTATTTCATCCATGCATGCAATTTACCTCTAAATTTCACTAAATAAAAAAATAATACACGTTCTCTTATTCTGTGGATTTTATAAACAAACACCTCAGGTCATTTACAATAGTATTTCTTTCAATAGCCATTTTCAATGGACAGTAATAATTTTTATCAACAAGTAGATCTCTAAACATACATGCAAACATTTAAACATTTTGAAATATCAACATTTAAATGTCTTTCTGAAATAATTCTCTTTATTTGTGTAAAAACGTAAACTTCAAATTGAAATTACAGGAAAAATGTCCCTTCTACAAAATAGCTTAAATTATCAAATAAAACAAGTACAAAAACTAAAAGTGGTGATACCTCTCATATACCTCTCATATTATAGAGATATAGTTTGAAGCCAAAATATTGAAGATATAACATCTGTAAAATCATGTTAAAAACAAAACACTCAAAGCCAAATTAATTGTTAATAAAATGAAGGTATAAGATTGGTTTTCTATACATGATGCTTTGTTTACAAAAGAAATAAAAAATTTCTGAATTACAAAAAGGATTTTAAAATGATTATCCAGCTTTTTTATTTTCTAAAAATCAATCAGTGAAATTTAATGATCGCTTCATAAATTAAAATAACTCATTAGAAATGAATGTGTCATAACTATAATCATCAAAATGGTTAGCTGCTGCACCAATTTTCATTCTCTCTCTCTCTCTCTCTCTCTCTCTCTCTGTATATATATATATATATATATATGTGTGTGTGTGTGTGTGTGTGTGTGTACATACATGTTTATATTTTAAAAATTTGCAATTCGTTCAAACTACAGAGGCTTAGAAATTCATTACTGTTAAGAAAATAAGCCAGTTTGCATGAAAGTTCACAAGCATAGACTTAACAAAACCATATAAGAATTTATATTTATCACACAACTGGAGGTGTTTGTAATTGAAGAATTTTCATAATAAAAACCTCAAAGAAGAATATATATATATATATATATGTATATATATATATGATAAGATATGATAAGAAAATCATTTATGCCTGCAATAAATTTTTAAAAATTAAAAATAAATCTTAAGTTCATCATCAACATAAATCTTAATAAATTGAAGTACTTTCCAATTGCAGTTGAAGAACTATGACATTTGCAACCAGAACTCTATTTCATACGTTCAATTCTGCATTGAAGAGCTTTCATAAACTCTATAGACTTCGAATAACGTGCGATTTTAAGAAACTGAACAATAAAGTAACTCTATTCAGCGAAAAAAAAGGTAAAGTCAAGAGTAAACGGGAAGCAGAAAAGGCACATCACGACTGCCGCGCCCCATCCAGATATCATTGGATGAAACATGTAATTGATGATGTCTGTTGGTTTGGCACAGCAGCTATGGTGTTGGCTTCGGGCTCTGGTGCGGTTTGGGATGGAGCCTCGGAACCTACCACACCTCCGTGGCTTGGCACCAAACCTGGCTCACGGCTTGCACGAGGTATCATTCTTCCAACTACGTCCATCCATCCATAGATGAAAAATGAGGCTGGAGATGGGGATCAAGAGACAAAGAAGGGTGTGTTAGTGTGATGGGGGGGAGGGGGCAAGGCTAAAAATGGAAACAAAATCCCGAGGGCATATATGCCACTGCTCAAAGGGAAATAATATTAATGATAATAATAATAAAAGGAAATTAAAGTGCATGGGGCCTCCCACCCCCCCCTTCTATATTAGAATGCTAGCCCTTCGCTCTCTACTCCCTCTAGCCTTTTGCTTTTTCTAAAAAAAACTGTAACGTTTTACGTGATCACTTTTATAGTTAATAAAGTGAAATGAAGAAGAGATCCTTTGGCAGCTCTCGGTGACGTCAGTTTTTGGGTTTGGTGGCCACAATGCTGAGGTCATCGAAACTGTAGAATAAACTCATTCCTTCTTATACATGCTCCCAATTTCCTTTAATTATTTTTTAAGGGACTGTTTTTATTTTATTAGTATTATTGTGATGTATGTTTGTTGCCATTATTTGAAGTTTTTGTTACTCTACATTAGTTGATTCAGCTTTTCTTAAGAAGGAAGAATATGATCAATGGAAATATGACACTTCTAGCAATAATGGTGATTGTGTATGACTTTCTAGTCCAATGCATACAATGCTTTGTTAGAAGTTTAGAATGGATCTTCCTTATCCTATTCACTTACCGGAAAAATAAAATAAAATACTTGGCCAGTTCTCCACAGAAATGAAACTATTGGTTTATTGTCTCCAACACTTGATATTTTAACACCATCTCTGCAAGATAATTGTATTTTGGCCAGTTGTACTTCACACAAAAACCAAGGGGATTATGAGTAGAATGGAAACCTGATGAGATTTAAGGTTACAATTTGATTTTTGCCACCAAAAGGCTTCATTTTAACTAAATCATGAAACAATAGAGATTGTTGTATATAAACATGCGTGGTAGAAGGGAATCTCGACACTCTAGCAAAAGGCATCTCACTTTGTAATATCTACATGCCTTGCTACCGTATAGAGATATAAATGTTATATCTTGGAAAAGTTTATAGTGCTTGTTGGTTTTGTAAAGAATATACCATCTACTTTTTACTAAAAATGTAATAATTTTCTAATTTGCAGAAAAAAAATAATTATATTTTATTTATTTTTATTATTCAATAGAAGTTGTTGTTATGAATAGTATAACTTCAACTGAAGTGTCATTAAAAATCCAAATCTTACATCCTTACAAGGCAACCATAGATATTTGTACTTATTAAGAATGAGTTTTAAATTTCAATTTTTTCAATGGATTCCTAAAACCAAGTCATGCCAAGACTTAGATTATTGTAAGGAAAGTAGCAAACAAACTTAAGATTGTTAGTAAAGATTTGGCAAGGAAGATAGGGATGCATTTAGGTACTCCTAGATTTGCTCATCTTTAAGCTCAATTTCATAAGAAAAATCATGACAACAAGTTTTGACATTTTTCCTTCATGGCCATAAAAATTCCAGGTTTTAGAATACAATCAACCCATTTAATAATATATATATATATATATATAGTTTTAAAACTATATAAACATAAATAAAATATTATTTTTTTGTTTTTAAATTAAAAGACAAATAAGACAAGGATGCCCCTTCATTTCTAACTTGTTTTATATTATTTAATAAATTCTCAAATCCAATATCAAATTTTCTATGGCCTTTGGATACATTTAGGAGCACATACTACTTTTAAAAATGAATGGTTATTTACAAGCCAGTACAAAAACATCAATCAACTTATTTTGTAAAGTAATAACAAATCTTTAATTTTTTTAAAAACACTAGTTATCTTGAATATAACTTCTATAGTGATTGGCACAAATCAATTGACATTTAAATATAAAGACTGAGTACATTACAATAGATTGACAAGTATTAGTAGAATTAAGCGTATTATGGATAAATCAATAAATTCATATGCAGCTCTGTTTGAGTAATACTACTTTAGAATAAGTAAGTTTTGAAATATGACAAGATAATGATTATTTAATGAATGCTTAAACCTTATTTTCTCATGTATGTCATCAACTAGATAAATGCTGAAAGTTCTTAAGCCGAAAAGAATTAGTATATTCACTCTTTTATAATTTAAAAGCAGCCTAATTTAATTAGTAAGAAATACACATAGATGATATCTTAATGAAAATTAAATGACTAAATATATTTTTGGCTTTGCAAAATATTTTCAAATATAGATGAGAATATGATAATTTTAGAAAACAAGAAAATATTAAAAACTCAAATATATATATATATATATATATATATATATAGATACCTTGATTGTTTTTTATGGTATGA